CGGGCTGTGCTCGTTCTCTGGAGCTCTGGCTGATTGAGGTGTCCTGAGTGTGCTCATTCTCCAGAACTGGCAGATTTGAGGTGTCCGGGCTGTGCTCATTCTCCACAGCTCTGGCAGATTTGAGGTGTCCCGGGTGTGCTCATTCTCCACAGCTCTGGCAGATTTGAGGTGTCCCGGGTGTGCTCATTCTCCACAGCTCTGGCAGATTTGAGATGTCCAGGGTGTGCTCATTCTCTGGAGCTCTGGCAGATTGAGGTGTCCGGGGTGTGCTCATTCTCCAGAGCTCTCTCACCGAGGGCCACAGCACTGATCACTACCTAGTGAAAATATCGCCTCTGAGTTCACACCAAGCTGTTGTTGCTTGCAGAAATACCAGTGAATGGTTCTGTGCAGGCCCAGACAGTGCTAGGAATAAAGAGTAAAACCAAACCTTTTCAAAATACTTTAATATCTACTTGCGGCACTAGTTTATACCTAGAGAAGGTTGTGGTGAAATAGGTTGGAAGATCAATGCAGCACTGCCTGGTGGACAGTGCTGAGGCTCCTAACCCTTGGGAAGAAGTGGGGAATCTGGTTTGCCTTAACGGGGCATTGTCTGTAGAGTCATGGAATGGTTTGGATTAGAAGGGACATTAAAAATCATTTTGATCCAACCCCCTGCCATGGAGAGGGACACTATCCCGGGTTGCTCCAAGCCCCTTTCAACCCGGCCTTGGACACTTACAGGGATCCAGGAGCAGCCACAGCTTCTCTGTACAACCTGTGCCAGGGCCTCACCACCCTCCCAGGGGAGAACTTCCTCCTAATAGCCAACCTAAACCCACTTGCTTTTGATTTGAAGCCATCCCCCCTTTTCCTGTCAACCCAGGCCCTTGTAAATAATCTCTCTCCATCTTTCTTGTAAATTTCCTTTGGGTACTGGAAGGCCTCAGTTAGGTCACCCCAAAGCTTCTCTTCTCCAGGCTGAACATTCCCAGTTGTCAGCCTTTCCTCATAAGAGAGGTGCTCCATCTCTTCATCTGTTTATAGTGAGAGTTTCAGGCAGTCTTTAGGAGCAGAAATAACCAGAGAAAGAGAGTAGATTATAAAGAGCTAGAACATTTTATCATGGGCTCCATGCTAACTGATTTACCTAGGGCTGATGGCATTTTGTGACTGTAGCTGTGTTTATTTCACCCTCAGGGGTATTTCCCTGACACTCTTAAATACCCTCCCATCATCACTCACTTCATGCCCACCAGTCCCTCTGTATCACTGTACTCACATATTTCACTCTCAGTCTCTGTTCCCCTCTATGAATATCCATCCTTCACCTGTGTCCTCCCAAGGCTCTGTTTAACATGTTCTCTCTTTTCTTAACCCCTCTTGCTGTGGTGCTGTTTATCTAACTCAACAACTTGTGATTTCCTCATTTCCATCATTCTGTTCCACAGCACAACTCTCCCAGAGGCACCTCCTCTTTGTCTCATTACCCTCCTCAGCCCTTTGGGGGCCACCCTGACAGTCCCTACTTTTGTTTGTACATATATTCCAATTAAATTCTCTTGGCTACAGTAAATCCTGGTCAGAGAGTAGGATGATGTGCCTGGCACTGGAAAATTTGAGGGCATGGAGCAGATGTTTTTGAGCTCTCAGCCACATTTTGGATATTGTTGACTTTTTCCTTAACAGAATCCTGGTACATGGCATCTGAAGCTGTTTGCTGCCCTTAGTGGAAAGGACATAATACAATAACTCCACAATAAAAATAAATAGCAGAATCCACATAGTTTAGTGCTGTAGTCAGATCCTGCAGGTGGCTTTTGTATTAAGAGAACCAGCATATTTGTGAGCAGATTTCAATTCAGAACTAGAAGTTCTGCTAGGAACTTTCACCTGAATTGCCTTTTAGGCAATTCTAGCCATGGAAAATGAAGGTATGGAAGGTATTCCAAGTGCTTGTGCTGAAGCACCAGACAAGAAGAATGGTGCAGGTTCTGTAAAAGTGTTGTATTGCTTTTAGAGAATGGGGGCAGTGAAAGGTGATTAACAGTATATTCCTTTCAGAGCTGCAGATCCTAATTTTCCAGTGAATCAGACTGGTCGTAATTATTACAAATTAAGCAAAATTATTTGGATATTTATGTTCTCAGTCTTTGAAGGAGATGGCAATTCTGTATGACCTCACAGAAGGTTGTTATCAGCTATGATAAGCCATAGTGTAAGGGGCACCAGACTGTGGAAGGTATTTTTCCTCTGCAGTAATACAAAATAAGGATTTTTTTGTCTGGGTTTTTCAATACAAATACATATTAAAAAATCCCATAAATATTTAAAGTGTAATCTTGTGGGTCTTTTAACTCAACTCCATGCATCTTTGTGCATGTCAGCACAAAGTTCTTCATTTATAATATCCTTTCAGTGAAAGAAATGTAAGCATCAACAACAGTTGATGAGACACAGAGTCCCCAAATGTAGAAAAATGGAATATGCTCAAGTCGGTCTTGACTAACCAAAAGGCAAGAAGGTACCATAACCAATACTACGGGATAGAAACAAGAGTTTTAATCAGTTATCTAGAAGCATCTACCTTCAACTGTTTTAAAGTAAGAGAATAATTCATCTAGCCGTGTTCACAGCTAAGGTAGTTGAAATGTTGAAAAATCCTAACTTTTCTATCTTGACAGTTTCAACACCTAGCACTCTGGCAAAAGAACTGTTTTATCCCAGGAGAAAATGAAGACCTTTTAGAATTTGGTGCTGGGAAAGAACCTGAAGCCCTCTGCTTGTAAGAGACAAATACGTGTGATGCAACTGTTATTGCAGAAAAATACTGCAAAATAATCACAAACTTTGATGCTTTAATCACTCGGAGTGGGTTTACCGAGGTCAGTCCAAAAACTGAGTACAATCAAGAACTAGGATCAGTTCTCATAACGAATTTTACACCAGATTTCTGAAAGCTGAGCAGACTCTCATTGCAGTCAAAGCCCTGGTACGTTCTTCAGCAGCTAGGGAAGGCTGGGGAGAACACTGGAAAAACCGGCGAGACTTAGGTACGAGAGGTCCTAATCTTGAAGAAGGTTGTACAACGTTTTCTCCACTAAATCGGGAAAAAGGCGCCGGGTTTGTGGCCGGGGTGGGACTCGAACCCAGATCTTCCTCTGGGCCACGCCCCCGCGGCGCGCGCGTCCTAGCGACCGTTGCGGCGTTTCAAACGCACACACGCTCCTCCCACAGCCAATCAGCGCGCTCACCGCCCCCGGGGGCTGTCGGGAGCGCTCCCGCCGCCAAAGCAGTGCCGGGGTGCGGAGCCATCGCGCATGCGCTTTGCGAAGCGGGCGGTGCTGCCTGGGCCCCGGTCCCTGCGCATGCGCAGTGCGCGGCGGCGGCGGGCGCGGAGCGCGGTCGGCACCGAGGGAAGCACCGGGAGCAGCGGGAGCGCTCCCACCGCCACCGCGAGCAGCAGCACCGGCAGCAGCCACTGGAGGAATTGGCCGTCCCCGGGCCGCCCCCGGGATGCGGCGCTGCTGCGGCCGCCCCCCCCGCCGGGCCCGGCGCGCCCCCGGGCTGAGCCCGCGGCGCCGCCCGCGGGGCCTGTAGGGCCGGGGCAGCGGCGGCCCGAGGAGCCGCGGCGGCCGCCGGCAGTGAATGGGCGCCGCGGTGAGGCGGGAGGAGCCGGAGCCGCCGCCGCCGCGATGGCTCAGGAGAAGATGGAGCTGGACCTGGAGCTGCCGCCGGGGAGCGCCGCGGCCCCGGGCGACGGCGGCGGCCTGAGGCGGTCGAACAGCGCCCCGCTCATCCACGGGCTCAGGTGAGGGGCCCGGGGCGCTCGGCTCATCGAGCCTTGGGGTCGCCGCTGCCCTCCTGGGACAGGCCCGGCGCCCCCTCAGCGGCCTGTGGATCGTGTCCCTTGTCCCGCGGGGCCGGGATCGCCAGTGTCCCCTTGTCACCCCTCGGCTCACGGAAGGTGCTCCCAGCGACAGCAGCGCTCTTGTTCAAATAAAATGATGTTTTTAGCGCTCTGGAGGGTGCAGCGCGTGTCACAGCACTGTGGAGCTTTAAGTAAAGGGCACCCAAAAAAGTCGGTCATAAAACTTTGTTTTCTCCCCCTGCAGTGACAACTCCCAGGTGTTTCAGCCTTACGTGTTGCGGACTCGCAGGAACAGCACAACAGTTATGAGCCGTCATGGAATGGTGAGGAATCTTAAGCATGTCATGTTTACACACGAGAAGGAATAATTGGAGTAGAGAATTGAAGTTAAACTTAACTTGTATTTGCACTAAGTATCATAGCAAGCTTCCAAGCTGCAGAATAAGCATTTTTTCACCTCTAAGTGCGATCTATAATGAAATAATACTGGTGTGTTGACTGTGTGTCCCCAAGAAGACAAGAGTAGTTGACGTTATATGTGACTCCCCATATTAAGTCCAGTTTTAAAGTTAATTTAAGCCTGACTGTGTGTTGGAAGAGTAAAATGCTGTCAGAATTAAAAGTCTTTAAAGGGTGCTTTGTTGTGAAAATGGATGAGGGAGTCCCAGTTCTTTGTTGACCTGTTTGACAAAGTGCTTTTTTTTCCACAAAGGCAGAACACTAGACCTCAGAAAATCACTGAAAGAGGAGGAATTTATTTGTTGCCCTCTGTTATCAAAGTTTGGTAGTGTACACTTCTGCAGTTGTTTAACTTTTCAAAGATGTTGCATTTCTTTCTATCTACCCTCTCCTTGTCAGGTGAGGGATTCATGTGCTCCTTCCACTGAATTTTTTCTGTCTTGAATGAGGGTAGTGAAGATTAAATATTGCTTTTTCTCAAAACCTCAAAGTCCTGACATAAGTTTCCTCTGTGTCCTCTGTTCAGGAGAGGTGACAGAGATTTTTAATTCAAAGTCTTCTGTTGTGAGGTTTCTTACGAATCCAGAATTTTGGAGCACATCAGAAGGTGTGACAGTGGACACATGGCCATCCTGAGTGGGAACCATTTATATCTTAGAGTTCCAGAGGAATTAGATGCATAAAAGCACTGAGATTTCTCCTTTACAATAGCCAGCAGGTTGAGTAAGGTGTCCTACAGGAGTTTGTCATATCCTGGGCAGTGGGGAATTGTGTAATGATCACAGTTTCATTTGTAGTGTCTCCCTTGTCTAAATGGCATCTGTAGCTATTTGTGTACTTGAGATGCTGAGCAGTATCTGCCTGCAAGTCAGATCCGTGCCACTTGCTGAGTGATACAAGGAATTTGTAAGTGGTAAAACAAGTCTTTTCTCTTGAAGGTCAGTGTTTGCTTTTTTGCAACATTGTTTGAGTCATCTACATGTAGCTGTGCAGCTCATTTTGCACTCTCTAAGAGTGTAGTTGATGGTAAATAGTGTATATGCAAGCAGTTATGTGTGATTTAATCATTGTGGCTGTCAACTTTTTTCCAGTTCTTGTCATCATCTCCTATTCGTATTCCTAGCAGCCGACTTCATCAGATCAGAAGGGTAAGTGGAGTTTTTATCTGTGTATTCAGTAACAGAATGAAAAGTGCTGTATGATACTGAAGTACTTGCACAGGTTTCTTTCCTATTGAGTTTTTCAAGTGCTAAAGAAAACTGAATATTTCTTAAGACTTAATTTCAACAAGGAAGTGGCCTTACAAGGCTTATTGTTGTGTTTAAGCTACCTTGCATTTTAGAAGTATTTAATTTAAGTGAAGCAGTGAGCTGGACTGGTAGCTGTCCTGTCGTTCTGTAGTGGTTCTCCTGTTCATATTTCAATCCTGATGGCAAATAATGGAATAATGAGTATTATTTCAAGTACCTGTGTTGAATCAAATGTTATGGAAAAACTTACGACGTTTATCTCTTACAGGAGGAAGGAGTGGATTTAATGAACAGAGAAGCAGCACATGAAAGGTGAGTGTTACTGAAAGAAGGTGCTAAAATAGCCAGAGTTATCCTCTTTGTAACTACTGATGGGGTTTTTTGTATTCTAGGGAAGTGCAGACAGCAATGCAGATAAGCCAGTCATGGGAGGAAAGCTTGAGCCTGGTAATCTTTTTATAGATGTTTCCTATTTAATTCTACTTTTACACTCAAATGTCGAATTTAAGGGAAAGAGAGGAATTAACTGTGAAAATAATTTAAGAAGAATTTAAGCTCATCTGCTTTAGCTATTATGTGGTTTTGACCCAATGACTTTCCATTAGAAGGTTGTGCCTTGGGTTTCGAGGTAATGCCCTGTGCCTGTGTTAAGTCTGAAACCTTGTATTCACAGAGCGACAATGACTTGGACAAGTCTGAGAAATCTTTTTCCCCAAAGAGAATAGACTTCATTCCAGTTTCTCCTGCACCTTCACCTACAAGAGGAATAGGAAAGGTATGATAAGTGAAATACCAAGCTGAGACAATATTTCAGAATTCTAGACTGAGCTGAACTGTCAAGATGTGTAACTTCACAAATTGTTCATAGATTAAAAAACCCCTGAACAACACAACCGAACAAGCACCAAAAAAGCCAAATTCATATTTTGTTGGTTTCTTAGAATCAAGTGGTTGCCATCTGGGAGCCTGCAGAGTTTAAGCAGTGAAACACTGGATGTTTTCAGTTACTGCTGTTTTTGCAGTGTTAAGGGTGGGTTGGGGTTCTGCTTCTAGGGAAGCTGGAAGAGGTAATGAAAATATTCATGGACAGAATCTCCAGGCATGGAAGTGGGGGGATTTTGGGGAAGAAGCACCAAAATTGGACTGCAAATCTGTCTGGTGAGAGATGAAAATGTGTCCCATCAGTATGGAAAGGAAGGCACAAATGCAGTCTGAAGGAGGACTTGGATGGGTTGAACTTGTACTGAAAACTGATGGCAGATGCCAGAGAAAGAGGTGGCTGTTAGATAAACTACTTTTCCAGTGAGGATTGGAAAACTGAAATGTAGCACAGAGAAACTGGCATCTGTCTTTAAAGATGGGCTGCTTGACCTTGTTTGCACCCTCTTGTGTGATTCTGCTTTTGTACAAAAAAAGAGCAATCTGTGTGCTCCTGTCAGATTGGTGCATGTAGCAGCCACGAATGAGTGCTGGGTAAATGTGTTCATGGGAAAACACTCATGCTTACAGTGGAATTCTGACTGTAAAGCGCTAGCAGGTAACTTGATAGAAGGATTTTTATGTTTAGCTAGAAGCATTCATGAGCTAAGCTCAAATTAGCTGCAGAATCACAGAGCTGAATATCCTGTTTTACTCTGGAATATTGTCAGTTTTCAGGTCAGATGTATTTTGAGTAAACTCAACTTGTTTGTTTAACAAGCCCCTTGAAAGAAGTAAGTTCTGAGTACTCTACTGCTGTTTCTAAATGTACCAAAGAACAGAAACAATTCTCTTAGAGAACAGTGTTTATTTCAATTTTACTTCTCTTGTGGGTTTCAGTTTTAGCTTAATCTGAGCAGAATTGCATGAGTCAGTGTGTTTTTGTAAATTAAGTTCTAATACTTGTAAGATTATATTTGATAATCTATGTAATCTGTCACTAACTTTTCTTTAAGAATATAAATGGAATAGATGAGGGGATGTTTGTTTTGGAGGGTGGTGTGTAACGTCTGAATATTTTAAAGGAAATTCTGAACTGTTTTCATTTGAACTTTCTTCCTGCAGCAATGTTTTTCACCATCATTGCAAATGTTTGTGAGCAGCAATGGATTACCTCCAAGCCCTATTCCCAGTCCAACAAGGCGATTCTGCAAGTAAGTGATGAATGTCTGTTGTGCTAACATTGTAATTTAAGCCAAAGATTAATTAAAGTTGATGTTAAGGCATTCAAATAAACTTCAGGTTTTTGCAACTGCCAAAGTATTGCCACATAAAAATGAAAGTTTGACATTTACCAATGGCAGTTTTATGTGTTTGCTCTTATAGAGCATGTGTCAGCTTTAAACTAGACTTGGTGACTTGAGGGGAAGTTCTTGGGTATTTCAAATTAACTCTGTCAGCAGATTAGTTTTATATAAATACGCTACAAAATTCAGAAAAGGATTGAAATGAGGATGTGATTCACTAACGGAAGGAGAAAACCTTAGAAAATCTACCACAGCTTTGTGTGGCAGATAATCTGCTCTAATGGGCAGCCCTTATTTGTTATCTATGTATTTAGATTCCACAAGAATTCCAGTTGTGCAGGAATAGTTTTGAAGAATGCTTCGTATGCTGAGGTTGTGTTGATTTGATGCAAATTGGAACCTTTCTAGGCCTGACTCTCAGTATTCTTTCTTCAGCAGGAGGAGTCAAAGTCCAATCAACTGCATCAGGCCTAGTGTTCTTGGCCCCATTAAAAGAAAAGGTATGTGTATTTACTGTACCAGATGTTTTAATATGGATATAGTTTTCTAGCTGGATACATACTTTTGTTATTCTGTAAATATAATGCACTTGTATCCACAGTGAACTGGAATTTGCCAGGCATAACTCAAAAATACGATGTAAAGTAGCTAGACTAAAACACAGGAATGAAAAACTTAAAAAACAGCTACTGCTTGACAGAGGCAAACATTATTATATATCAAATTAAATGTCAGAGCTTACAAATGCTCCACAACATTCCTACAAGTACCACTGAACAGTGCACACCCTTCAGATCATCTTAGGAATGTTGCTTATCATGCAGTATCTTCTAAACTTAGTACTGAATGTTTGTTTTCACTCTGAAAGTTCAGAAGGTGAGTGTTTAGAGAAATAGAATAGATCTGTGCCCTTTCCTCCTGAAGGGGGAAAATGCATTCTTTCCTGGAACTGTTCCATGTTAGAGATTTTCAAGTAACATCCCCAAACAAATCTCCATAGTAGAACTGTAAGAATGAGATATTCTTAAAGTGTGCCTTTAGCTGTGCTTATCCTGTTTAATTTTTTTTTTTTTTTAACTTAGACATTCTTAACTGCACCAAAAATGTCCTTTTGTTTTACAAGATTTACATTTAGGCTTTTAGAAAAGTTACTGTTTGTTGTTTAGCTTTTTTTTTCTTTTTAGTACTGCTTGTCCTGTCAGATAAAGAATATTATCTAACTGATACTGATTTGACAAAGGAGAGAGACAAGTTTTCTCATAGATGTCAGTTCAATCTTTGCTTTTATTTTCTGTGAATTTTAGAGGCACTAAAATGGAACAAAAGTTTATTTAGCTAAATGATCAATAAGAAATAAATATCCACACTTACACTTTACACAAATTGTAAAAGCAGTGCAGGTAGAGAGACAGGATTTCCTCACCAAATCCATGTGCTCCCATGGAGCATCTTTTACAAAGTGGAGATAAGAGTTTTCCTCTTCTTACGTGAAGAATTTTTCAAAATGCTGCTTAATTTTGAAACATCTAAACCATTTAAATGAACTTGCTTTCTTTTCCGAAATACGTTGTCCTGTTTTTTTCTGAATTTTAGCAGTAGATTTATAGTAGGAGAAGGAAAGCCATGAACTGAAGAACTTTTCCCCACCATAGGGAATTAATACTGGTGGACTGCAATGTGTTGTAGCAGTGCAGATTTGTTTCTGTGAAATTTAAGGGGCAAAAGTATTACCAAGTTGGTGTTTTGTTCATTTTTCCACAAGACCAAGTATTTTAGAAATGTTTTTTCCCTGTTCTGCTTGCTAGAAGCAGTTATTCCTTGCTTTAAGACAGGAATGTATCCCTATGGGCTGAAGAAAATGAAGGTTTTGGAAGTTACCAGTCTTCTATAAAATGTAGCAGTGTGATTCTATTGCAGAATGTATAGACTGGTTTGCTATAATGCTTAACCTCTCTCAGGTTTTCAAACTGACTCTGCAGCTAGTGCAAAGTGTTGGTAAAAGCCAGAAAAATTAGTACCATTTCATGCTTTTTTTTCCCCCCCAAAGTAAGAATGAAAATATACTGTAGGTGATATGGTTTTCTTTTTTTTTTTTTTTTATTTTCAATTTCATAATATTTCCAAATGTCTCTTTTAGAGCAGCTATTACTGAGCCAGCTCATTCTCACAGCAGATTATACTCAACAGATTACATCAATTTTCCCCATCATATTTAGTCTGTTAATGTCTGTAGTTGGTTACAGGTACAAAAAAAAAATCTGATCCACAATGAGTAAGTGGAAATGCTTCCATGTGACAGATTTATTCCATTCAGCTTGCCTGTAAAAGTATGCCCATGCATCAGATTTCATTGTAAGAGGAGGGTGAAACTGAGCCCAGCTGTCATTCTTATTTTCATAATCACTAAAAATTTTAAACTTCATATTTTGACTTACATCAGTTACCTCAGCTGTTTACTTAAAATTAAGTCACAGTAATTAGTTTGCTTTAGATTATTTTGTCTGATTTCAGTGCAAGTAACAAGTTTGATGTCTTTGAGATCACTGTAGCCTCTCAGATACTGCTGAAGTTTTACCTAAGGATGGACTGGATGGTCTAACAACAATTGTCATCAAATTAATGTCTTAGCCAGGTGCTTGGTTGGCTGAATTAGAGAACTTATGTTACAAATGCAACCTTGGAATGTTGTAGGTCAACCCTCTCTTTTACAGCAGACAAATATTAAATAGGTATTCCAGAGACTTAAGTGAGTTTGATTATTTGTGCTGTTTTCCTTAGGTGAAATGGAAACTGAAAGTCAGCCAAAGAGACTTTTCCAAGGAACAACCAACATGCTTTCTCCAGATGTTACACATCTGACAGATCTCAGTTCATGGTAAAATATTACATGTGCCCTGAAATGCCAAAACAGGGAATGTGCGTTTATCACAAGCTTTCTAGGTTTTTTTTTCAGGATGTGTATTAATGGGAGCTGTCCTGTGGTAGTGTCCTGTGACAATGGTCCTTCTCCTTTGACCAATTCTTCCTGAACAGACTCTAGCCTAGATTTTGTGTATCAAAGCTTTTACACTGAATATAATTGTTACAAACAAACCCCTGTTAATTCATAAGAAAAGTTGCTTTGCTTCATCGTTACAATATGTTGTAGGGAGTGTCTGTGTCACTTCACTGAATGCTTAGAAAATGTGTATGGCTACTTAATTGTTTTTGTCCCTAAGTTCATGATTTTTAGAGTTAAGTCACTTTTTTTTATTACAATCATACCAAGTTTTTTTGTGTTGAGTCAGATACTAAATATTCAAAAATATCAACTGTTATTATTGTAATTTCAGTTTACCTACAGACTTGAAACTGCCTAGATGGGTTTTTTTTCCATGTTGTTTCCCCCTAAATTGCAAAAGCATCAATTTTATGTGCTCTCTGGGATCTTGTATCTAAACTACAAAATCCACACACAGGAATTCTGTAGGAAAAATAGGTCTCAATCTTGTTTTGAGTAGTGCCATGTTAAAGAGCATACCAACTAATTAATGACATATTTTCTTCATTGCTGATTAATTTATTATTTTTCCTTTCTTATAAACTTTTAAGGTTTTATACTTACTTGTTGTCACCTCCTTTCTACGTCTGATTAAAATCAGCTTCATCATTATTCTGCATGTTAAAAAATCCCAACAATTCTGCTCCCCGTTCCCATGAGGAGCATGAATATCTCTAACATGCTAGAGAAAACAAGGAGTTTTCAGGGCTGCCAGTCTTGCAGTAAAGACTGAGTGGTAGTATAGGTCTCCTACAAGTCCTGTCCAAGGGGGAAGCACATCAGCTTTGTTCAGAGCCTTGTGTCCCTGCACTAAAGGACCTTTTTCCCTTTCCCCAGCCTGTCCTCGGATATTCTCGACGGGAGTAGCAGCAGTGTTGGCTCTTCCTCTGATTCCCTGACTAAAGGCAGCATCACCACGGAGTCTCCAGTGACATGCTCCAACTCCTGCTCCTCATTCATTCTGATGGATGACTTCTCACCCAAGTGACTTTACCGAGTCCTGAGTCAGTGGCTGTGCTGTCCCCTTTCTCGTACAGAGAAATGAACTCTGATCCTTGAACCATTCATATGAGGTTTATTAAAAGAAAAAATTGTTGTTACTGTAATCCTTGGCTACTTTCCAGTGATTTTTTTTTTTAATTTATCCATTTAATGGACATTGTAGACCATATTAATGTCTGGTTTTGCGAATTTATTTTTAAACAAGATGTCTGCTGGTATTATACTAACTTTTGCTTTCAGGAACTTGCATACACTTTTTGATTCCAGGAATAGGTATCTACCTACTAGTGTTGCAATTTTTAGGAATGTACTTCTATCATTATCATGGTCACTATGTCTAGGGAAATAACTTGGTTTGGAAGGATTTGAAAATACTAATTTATTCTCTGGCACTTCTACTCTTGAGTAAAATTATTGCTTTTTTTTTTTTTTTAAGTCACTAGCCTCAAATTCCTTTATGGAAGGGAGAAAAAATATTTTATTTTCTTAGTGCTGCTAGTCATTTTTATGAATTCATTTGCAGAAGACCACATTGGGTGTGGAAATCTCACTCTATCACATTAAACTAAAAACCCCACAGCAAAATAACTAATACTGTCACTTTTGCCATCAGTGAAGAAATAATAGTACTCTACAAACATGATTAAATTAGCTGCATAGTTCTCTTCCCAGAACATTTGTCCTACAGATTGTATGAAATAAGGTCATTATTCAGCAAGATATGGCCAGGAAAAATTAATCCACACCTCGATTGAAGACATACAGTGCAGATAACTAAGTTAATTAAACTACTGTGTAGGAGAACCGTGTATGGCACCGTCGATGTCTCCTGTGGCATTGAGGTCATAAGTATTTTTGTGCCTTAGGGGACATTGTTACAAAATTATGGAATGTAAACCAGAGGGGTGGGTGGGGAAAGTCCTTTGTGTACAGCTTGTTTATAGAGTGCTTACCCAAATCTGTCGGCGGTGCTGCTTCCCTCAGTGTTCCTTTCCGAGGTGTGGAGGTGCTGGGGCAGCCCCAGCTCCCAGGGGCAGCCAAGGTGAGACCCTTTGCAGCTGCTCTGGGCAGAGTTTGTCCCTTTCTTGGTCATGAGCAGAGCAAACAGCTCAGCAAACATTCTATTCCTAAGGAAAGGCTTTGGATTGGATATGAGCTCTGCAAATTCTGCTTGGTGAAGGAGTTCTCTTTGAGCTATGAGTAGTCTTGATACAGTACCTTGGTCAGTCTGAGGTAGGAACAGATATTTTACTTTTTAAAGACTATAACGGGGCAAAATAAATCCGTTTGTAATCTACTGTGTTATGCTATTTATTATTTATAACTCTGTAAAAAGTCTGTGGTGATGAATTATAGTATTTTTTTATGATTGAATAAGTTTTTTATGTTCAGTAATTGCTGGCTGGTTTGTATTTAATACGCAACATTGTCTGCCAGAATCATAAGCTTCCATTTTTGAATGTTTGTAACATAAATGCTTTTGTTACCTAAAAGTACAACTTGTGATCTTTCTGAAAGAAAATAGCACTGAATTTAAAGTAAGATTATGTGCTTTAGATGTGAGCACAATCTCTGGCAATACTGTCTGGCTAAAAGGGGAGGGGGAGAACCATAGTTTTTTCTGTTCTGAAGAAGCCGTTGGGTATCCAGAAGACATGTACATACCAGATTATTTTTAAAGTGTTTCCATTAAATTGTAAGAAGTACCAGAATGGGCCAACAGTGGCACTATTATTTGTATGATCATTTCCACCTGTGGAGCATTAGTTCCCCACTTCAAATAAATGTGCATATTGTAAAATATTGTCCATTGGTGCCATTTTTAAATGAGCTCTACAGTATTGAATGTTAATTTTGTTTGTATATGCACAGTGCTATTTCTTGAATTTTTGATGTCTTAAGTCGCTTAATTATTTTTTTTTTATTCATGCCTGTATCTTCTCTGCCTTCTTGATGCTTAAAGAGGGCTGCTTTTCCATTTGCAAAATATTGATAAACAGTCTGTGATAAAATCCAACCCCATCACCTGTGCCCCGGTTCCCTTCTACCATGCTTTTACTGGTACTGTGATTTGGAAATCTGAACAAGGGGTGGCAGGAGGGGGCAACCTATTGCATGCTTTCTTAAACCTGAGAAGAGCATAGCTATTGCTTAATTTTGGCTGATTTACCTGTACAATTGATGTATTCCAGATTTGTTTGTTAGTGGAGAGTCCTATCTGAGTGCTGGCCTCTGTAAACATTCGAATGTAAGCTGCATAAAGCGAGCGCACAAATAGTCACTCTTGTTCCAGCAGTTTTTTGTAGTGTTCTGGCTATTCCCCACTCTTGGAAGGTCTTGTGAAAGACATTGCTCTTTTATAAAATATAAACATAATGCACACACTCGCTGTGTCTCTTGTTTCAGAATTAATGGATGTCCCCGTGTGATGGGCCCAGTTCTCTTCCAAGCTCCTAACACAAGTTGTTCATTTTGAAACAAAGTTTTCCAATATGCTGATTATTGATACATGCACTTAACTGCATTTGAGTTGCCACTGCTCACAGGGTTCATTGATACTGTAGCATGCTCTGTCTAAAACTGACTAAAAGTTTCATTTCTGGCTTTGTTACCTGCCTTGTCTGAGGGAATTAGATACCAGTTGGGAAAGAAGGCCAGCTGGTGCTGGTAGTCAGCTTTAATGTGTAACTATTGACATTTAACAAGTTTTTTTTATGACTTCACCAGACTTATTTCTGCTGAATTCCCATGATGAGTGTCTGAGAATTCCTGTCTTTCCCCCACTTCCTTCTTTTTATAAGGGATCATTAGTGCATATCTGTTGCTGAGAATCGTAGTGATGAGTTTCCTTTAATGCTGTAATAGTTGAGAACTAGGATAAAATACCTGTGTAATTCAAGCAGCATTTTAGAGGGACTATTTTTAACATGTTAATTAGCACAGCATTGCAGCAATGGTCTTTGTACAGCTCATTGACCAGCACTGCCTTTAGATCATATCCAGAGCACTCTGGATCCTCATTTCATGGGCTTAAAATGCTGGAAGGATTTTACCAATGGTTTAGAAAAATGTGTGTGTCAGCTGTGGAACTCTGTATGTTTTGATAATATCAAGTGTTCTGCATCAGGAAATGGATCACAGTGTGCATGTTTCAGTCTCCTTCATTGAATTTCAAATTGGAGGATCATGGGCCCAAAAGCCTGTATTTAAGGGGCTGTTTTTCTGACTGTATGTGATTAAATACTTTCTCCTACAATGAAAGTAATTAAACTGTCAGTGGGTGAGGATGTAAATCTGAGTCCTGCAGACTTTATTGGAAAACTCATTCTTGAAAGGCTCGAGGAATTCTATACTGCATAAAAACACAAAAGTGGGATTTTTAAAAAAAATATTTTGTAAGTCATGATAAAAATAGGGAATTCATTTTAACAACTCAAAATGCTAAAAACATTTTAAATGCAAGGCTTTAGCTTGGCATGTTTCCCCAAACATGTCCACATTGGGGGCTGTTTGCAGAGGTGAACTTGAGCAGGCTCAGGCAGATTTGGAACTGAGGTTCTGGTGGACAAACACAATAGACTGGCCTAGGGAAATTATTTTTTGCAAATATTCACATTCTTATCTGTAGACCCTGCTAATACATTGTGTGACAACAAAGATGAGAACTTGTTTTTCCTGGAAGGAATTTAATCAGCATATAATTTTCCTGGTTACTTCATAATAAAAAAGCTTTGCATTAACATGAGTTCAAGAATTTCATGAAGTCATAGGCCTGTTGCATTCGCTTTTTGGAGTAAAGGCCAAGGAATATTTTTGGAGCTACACAAACTGCCCCTTGTATTCCAAGGCTATTGCATGAATGGCAGCTGTCCATAGTAGATGGAAAGGAACTTTGCCTATTCTTGACTACTTTAGTCTCTCTTGAGGCTTGTTAAATAATCCTTAGCAAATTCAGTGTAAGGTGGGTCACTGGGGGTACCAGAAGACCCAGTGAGAAGGAAGTAGTGACTTGTTCCCTTAACTATAAATTTAGAGTTTGTAGCCTTGAGTTAATCTTACCCAGCTAATTTTCAAAGGAAAAATGCATTTTTCAGACACCTGAGACTTTTCATGGGAGTCTGCCCTGTTCAGACTTAGAGGAAAAGGCTTCTTGTGGGCAAGTCTAAGGCTGTTTTGCTTAATCCATTCCAAAAAGAGGGAGCTGTGCTTGACCATCAAAATTGGAGTAGCATTGTCTCAGTTCCAGCTGGTTTTGAGGAGAGCAGGGATTTGGTGTTTGGGTTTCCTTAGGGGCTGGTTATCTAATTCCCAAAGGTCCCAACCCGCACCATTGTCATCAGACTAAAATCAGAAATAGATCTTTTTTAGGGCAAGTCTGTTTTCTGAGGGAGTAATTATGCTGCAGAGCTGGTTTAAGGGTGACATCCAGAGTTTGCTTTCTGCTGCAGGCACAGGGCTGCTGTTCCTATAAATGCAAAGGCACAGAAGCCACTGTAAAGTGTCCCTGCACCTCAAGGCTATCCCTTTATCCCTTTATCCCTTCAGAGTGGACTGGGCACTTGGCGGAAGTCTCTTGTTTCAATCCAAACCCTTTTTGCATTCAAGCTGTTTTTTATTACTTGCTCTTAGATCTTAAAACCTTTTGGTTTGAGTCTTGCCTCTGATTAGCATGCCAGGGCCAGCATTTTCTTTTTAAACCTGAAGCAGTTTGGTTTGTTGTTCTAGCATTATAAAGTTTGGAGGTGAGTTCTTGCTATTAACAAAGAATGCATGTTAGCTTGGATGATCACAAAAGGTTGTGGGGTTTTAAAAGAAATGAGACCTGAAAACACAGAATAAAGAAATGCCTATTTTTAGTGAACCAATTTGGCTGGTTTGATACCAGGTTCTTTCTCTAAACACAGGCAAGAGTCTTTTGAGTGTATTTTTAGTAGCAGCAACAAAACCCAATGTGCTTCCACCACCAAAGTCTTCTTACTGTAAAGTAATAATTTATTACTGAAAGACCACAAGTTTTGTTCATCTCTAACCAGCCAGGCCAGGGCTCTCTCAGTCTGCCTAAGTTTGCAGTAACAGTCCCTGTGATTCAAGAGGCCAGTTAGTGACACCAGGCTGTCAAGCAGTTCCTGTCTGTCCAAAAAGCTTCATCTTACACTATAAGAGTTCTAACACTCTTGTTCTTCCTTAGCTTATTTCTGAGGGCCATAAAGTTTTATTGCCT